ATATACATATATATATATTATATTATATATAGACACTAAATGAGTTGAAAAATGGGATAGGTGGAAGTCTTATGCAAAAAAACATCAATTTTTATGATTTTATAACTTTTCGAAGATCTGACTCTGACACTTTCAAATTCGACGTAAAAATACAGGTTTAGTTCCTCGTTTTTTATCAGAGACACTAACCTTTGTACATAAAAAACGATATTGAAACAGTCGAAGACAAAAAAAAGTTTCCATATATTTTACAGTGCATTTGTTATGGCGGAGACGTTGGAGAAGTAAAAACAAAAACGTCAATATACAAAATGAATTCTATTCAAATGTATATGAATTATATGAGTGAATATCGATTTTGTACTTTCGTGCTATTTTTTTTATAAGGTATTTGGTACATCATTGTATACGTTTTGTCATTTATAAAAACGTCATGAACTACACACGAGTTTTGATTTCTTATTTAATCAGCTAAATACTCATTAGTTTAGTGTGAGCCTTATCAGATGACAATATTCTGACACTGATGATAATATTACTCGAGATATATATTGAGAAAGAGAGAATTTTCTCTTCTTTTCTACCAAAAAACGCACAATTGTGTTGGTATTAAAGTATTTTATATTAACGAAAAAACTCTTTCAACTCAGAGAGAAATAAAGCTTTATCATCATCATTCGCGCGAACAGTATTCAGTAACGTTTATTATAAATTTTATAGTTTTATTTTTACATATATCTTCTTTTGTTATTTAGTGTCTAAAATTTTACTACTTTTCTTCATGCCTATTCACATATGTAAAATTTTATTTGGAATATATAGAATATTATATTACAAATTAAGCTCTTCTTGTGAGTATCTCCGCTGTTCTTTCTTACTGATTAGCAGGTAATAACTCGTTGGCCGTCCAGGTCAAATTCACGACTTTTCCTTTACGGACGGACTCCTCGCAGGCCGTGGCAATTTTGGACACCGCCAGGATCTCCTGCGACTTGACCTGCGACTCGACTTTGCCGTGCACTACGTCGATGAAATGATCGAATTCTCTTCGGTAGCCGTTCATGAAACGGCTGGCGAACGAGTACCAGATCGGTGGTGCGGTGATTCCGTGTAGACCGTACTGCGAACTCACCGAGTGTATCGGTTGCTCGTTGTCGGCCCGCACCATGCCTTTCGGACCAAACACCTCGAGACGTTGGTCGTATCCGTAGTTGCTGTTTCGAGACAGATCGATCATGCCGAGAGTGCCCGACGGGAAGTGCATGTTCACCGCAACCGTGTCGAAATCATCGATCTCCTTGATCTCCGGAATGTTCGAGTCAGCAAGAACTGAGACCTGCAATCGCGTTTATTATGCCACCTTATCTCGCGGGACGATTACCGCGTATCTCAATGTAATTATTAATACATTTATTAGTGCAACTTCTCTCTCCTCAGTCATATTTTTTGATAGATATATCGATGTTTTATAAAATCAAATCAAAAGAAAATGTTACGAAAATCTTTATATTACAAAAATAAATTTTAAAATCAATCTATAAAAATAGAAATTCAAATTTTCCTTCGCGAAAACTGCCGAGAAGCAAAGAATTGTTCTTTGAGAAACATACGATTTACGAAAGCCTAGGGAAAACTAAAAGGTGTGTTTACTTATTGCTCTAGCATAAACACATTGTATGTGGCAAAGCGTCGAATTCTTATCTTACTTCGTTCTTGCATAAACACAGTTCAAATATCGGCAACAAAGCGCGGGCGTTGAAGTCGTACCTTATCGCTCTAACATATACACGGTTTCAACATCGATATCATCACAAAATAAATCAAGAAAATTATAAATTATTTAGATTAGAGGCTTCCTCACCGATTTTGATGTGCTTGAAATAGGCTTGTTAAGGACGTTATTCTGAACAACTTTTCCCTATACATGTTACTGCCGCTTGGCTCTAGTTTTCGAGTTTTTTCCAAAAGAAGTTTTGCAAATGAATTCTGTTTTCCAAAAGGGAGAGCAAAGCCTCCCCTCTGTCTACACGTGTCATACAAACAACATAGTTACTTCAGAAATCGACACGGAAAACAAAAAATTCATTTGCGAAACTTCTTTTGCAAATATCTCGGAAACTAAGACCGAGCGGCGGTAACATGTATAGGGAAAAGTTGTTCAGAATAACATCCTTAACAACATATTTCAAGCTCATCAAAATTGGTGAGGAAGCTCCTAATCTAAATAATTACAAAATGTATTTAATTATTCCAACTCGTGAAACATTAGGTATGTTACATCTCTAAAGAGAAATTAAACCATTTATCTATATGTTTCTGTCCGTGAAACGCATATATATGTTTCCCGATGCGTGGTACAGATTTTGTAAAACGCATATATGCGTTCCTTTGCGCGAAAGTGTTAAATTAAATTACATTAAAAAACCTATGTTAAGTGTGTCAACTGATTAAAAACAATTAAAAAGAATCCAAAATTGTACCTTATCCGGATACTCTCCGAGAACCCAGGTGATCATATCGATATCGTGGACCAGGCAGTCGTGGAAGATACCCCCGGACATCTTCAAATACTCTATAGTAGGCAGGGGAGAGTCACGCGAGACCGTCTTGATCGTGTGAACGTGACCGACCTCGCCTTTGCGAACTCGGTTCCGTACTTCCGAATAGCTCGGATCAAATCGCCGATTGAACGCGCAGAACAACGGTTTGCTCACTTTTTTCGCTATTTCGTAGCACTTGATTGTGTCCGCGCTATTTTCCGCTATGGGCTTCTCGCAGAAAACCGCTTTTTTCGCTTCGAGAGCCTTGACAACGATGTTCTCGTGAGTATAAGTTGGCGACGCCACAACCACCGCGTCGACACTACATGCGAATCACACAAAACAAGAATTATATGTTTGATTGCAAAACACTTAGATCAGTAAACATTTATGCAAATTGCAAATTGCAAATTTATTTTTCTATTCATTTCTATTCGGTAAGCGTTTAATAAAACTATACAATATGCTCTTATACTTAAAACAGAGTTACGTACTTGGAATCTTTGAATACTTTGTCAGACTGCTTGCTATTTAGAAACGTAACGTCGTTTAGATGCCAGCGTTTTTTTATATTATACCAGTTGGCTTCAATGTCGTCGACGATGTACAGAAGTTTCACGCGTGCATTAGATACAATTGTCGTTAAATGTATCGTTCCGGCGCGACCAACACCAAACAAAGCCACATTGAGTATCGGATCGTCCCGGGAATTGGTCTTCAATGAGAGATCTTCGACGTATCTACGAAACAAATAAATTTTGTTTTATCGGAGTAAGAAAATATTTGAAACAAGGATAGGAATTTGAAATAAACATTGTTTACGACGAGTCCGAAGTTATCTCGAGTTCGTATTAATTTGACAAATAGAATGTGTTTCACAAATATTTCTAATAAATATATTAACGAAATTGTAAGCTAAGAAAGAGAATATGTTTACGTCAATTTAGTTAATTTTTTTTAAACAAAAATTTTAGCAACAAAATGGGAAAAGGATGAGAAAGAATTGCATCGAATTAATTGCTCACTTGTTATAGAGATAATCTTCCACGGGTGGTGAAGGTTTCAGTACATAAGGAGAGGTATTTTCTTTGAATTTTATCGTCGCCATTGCTGGTTTCGCGAATTTTGAAGTACACCGGACAATTACTCTTCTCAAAATATCTCGCGACTGAGAGATACCGGTCTCGTTAATAGCTTGTTATATACGAGGAAACGAATAATGGAGGGGGGCTCTGACCACTGTAACGCATGTTGTTTGGAAATTTATTACTATCGCGTCCGCGTTGTGATAAACGTCAGATAAATTTTCTACTTTAAAATGTGATATGACATTTAAACATAAAAATCCTAAAACTTACTATTATGCAGAATCATGCTGAATCGCGTTTAATAAAGTTCAATTCTTGTCATTTTCACAAATAAACAGCTTCAATTTGTTTATTTCAATATTTTCAGGATACGATTTTTTTTTATGGAAAAATAAAAAAGAATATTTAAGTGAACTTCTTGCATTTGAAGTAGCGAACGAATCATAAACATCTGTTGCTGACTTTTGCCGTAAAATCGAGATATTTTAGAATAAAAAAAAAGAGACAAGCTTTCTGTAGAGTGTTTCAAAATACTTGGTGATATTCTTTTACAAATTGTCAATTTTTTATGGATTATTTTTAAGGTTTGTTAGACCGTACTTTGCTACGAGAGGTTTCTAGACGTTTCTCGCGTTTATTAAATTCATCCACGTGGTCTCCAGACTTTTCTGCGTATACGCGATGGAGACGCGAGAGGTTCAGTGATACGTTGCACCCGTCAGAAAAGAGGATTGAAGATACAAGAACAGAAAAAGAAAGGAGATATATATAAAATAGACCTTAAATTGTCTCGCGCCTCGAACATTTATTGTTTATTATTGCAGCTTCACAATCAGTAGTTCACTTACAATATATCATGATTGCGTTCCGATATTCATTGCCAGTATTGGAAATCTATAGCGCACATGTGACGTGAAATGTAGATTTGTAGTACTGAATATCGGCAATAAATATCGGAACGTATCCTATGACTATCATGTAATTATTTTTATTAAACGGTTATAATGTGTAACGCATGTTAATTAAACTGAACAAATGCATAAATTGTGCGATTCTATTGACAATTCTTATTAGATGTTACGGAGATTTGACTTACAATAGCTAAAATTATTGTTAAAATTAATTTAAAACAACTTTATATAGAAATTAATTCAAAATGGCTCTCAAAACAAGTATCCACGTATATATGTGCGTATATTACTTTTATATTGATGTGTTGATACATATATTACATAATAAACGGTGATGTAAATTTCCACATGTTATTGCTGTATCATTGCAAAGGCGACGGGAGTTATCAATGAATGAACCGCGCTACGTATCGCAGTTTTTGGGTATAAATAGATGCAAAATCACACTAGTATGCGTTGTGCACACAAGTTCGTACACGATGGCTGCGTTCGAAGAGCACGCTATCAGCGCTATTGCATCATTCTATCTTTGTTTTACATCTAATGAGCAATAAAGATAGAATGATGCAACAGCGCTGATAGCGCGCTCCCCGAACGCGCACCCGATATGTTATTGTGAAATGACAAATCCGGTAAAACGATTATATAACTTAAACATATGCTTATAACTTATATCTTATTGTACTAAAACATAGAACATATTTACGATATGTATATATTTGTTGACTGAGAGAGAACATTATTAAGAGAAAACTGTATATAATATCTTAATAATAATCGTGCTCAATTAAAGATTGGTACCTATAACTACTTATTGACTCAATCGCCTACTGTCGCCCCTTTATCGCTCGATGCTTCTCTATCGCCCCAACTACGCTATTTCTAATTTCTACTACTTTTCTTGTCCACCAATCATCGCGTCACTAAACAAGGATAGAGACACGAGTGAAAGCATCTATCTTTGTCTGAGGTTGGATCATTTCTTCTCCACAGAGAAGATAGGGAACGCGCAGTCTATTTCTTAAGCCCGTTCTACATTGATCGCAAGCGCAAACGCAAGGTATAGATCTCGTAGAATTGACCAATCACGCTGATCAATTGGCTGATTTGATCAATACAATTAGTCAATTCTACCAGACCTGTTCCTTGCGTTTGCGCTTGCGATCAATGTAGAACAAACTTTATATGTCTATGCTGATCAACACCGGCTGTCTCTCTCAACGTTAAAGACATTTTCTTAACATGGTAAAGGAGCAAGGTAGGGAACGCGAAGTTTATACATTCTACGTCTATGGAGAGATGAACGTCGTATCGCACACTCGCTCGAGCGAGAACGAGACAGAAAGTCATTTCTCTGTCTCTTTCTACTGCCCGACTGCGTCCGAAGCTCGAGCGCACACGTACATGGCATGAAGCTGTGTGCGTATCCCCTCTATCTTATTAAGGGCCTTCTACAATAAGATATTAGTAATAAATCAAAAGTCAGAAGCAAGAAATTGACTAATCACAATCGATTATTCTTCTGTGATTTGACTGTGATTGGTCAATTTCTTGCTTCTGACTTTTGATTTATTACTAATATCAGAGAGAAACCTGAGAGCGGCCATCCAAATGTAATTTTTTACGACGGTTTCAGCCGCTGGTTTTAGCCGTATTTCCACAAAAGTGGAACTCAAAGGCCGTTCTACATTAAACGCAAGTCACAGATCTCGTGGAATTGACCAATTGCAGAGTCAAATCAGCCAATCGACCAACGTGATTGATCAGTTCCACGAGATCTGCNACTTGCGTTTAATGTAGAACGGCCTTTGAGTTCCACTTTTGTGGAAATACGGCTAAAACCAGCGGCTGAAACCGTCGTAAAAAATTACAATAGGATGGCCGCTCTCAGGTTTCTCTCTGCTAATATCTTATTGTAGAAGGCCCTTTAAGGGTGCGTTCACTTTGGACGCTTACGCGCTTTAAACGTCAGTCTGTCTTTATTCTTGTTTAAATATAGAACAAAGATAGACTGACGCTCAAAGCGTGTAAGCGCCCAAAGTGAATGCACCCTAAGCGGCCAGAATCTGGCGTCCTTGATGAAAGATCGAGCACGCAGCAACGAGCGACGGTTCTTGCTTGTGTGCGTGCCCCCACCGCTTAGATACTGTCGTTACTGCGAGCTCGATCTTTTATCACTGCGTGAAGAAACGTCACATGTCGATATTTGTCTACAAGTGTTCGAACGATCAACATGTCTGTCATTCGTGCGTTTCAAATCCTCTTTTCAAGCGCGTCGCACGTCGCCCGAAAGCCGCTGGTTGCATCTGCCATCAGGTATTACTCTTGTAAGTACAACAATGACAAGAGTTTTTTTACCGGTCACAACATTGGATTGTCGCAATGAGAACCGGCAGCGATATTTGACCTATGAAGTGTTCCATACTCATCTGATAAAAACAATTTACGTTTCGATAAGATAAAAATAATTTATTTACATGAGAATTTACATAAAATAAAATGTTAAAATTTTATCGTAATGCTGAAAGTTTTTTTTAACTTTTTGTATCTAACAGTTTTCTAAGTGAAGTTTTTTTTATATAAAAAAAAGTTTGAAATAAAATAAAAATTTTAGATATGTCAAATATAAGGGTACTTTCCAACTACGTACACAGGCGACACTGTGTAACACTATGTCCACTAGTGTGAGTGAGACACATTGTGTACGTAGTTGGAAAGCACCCTAAGTTTTTAAAAGAAAACAAAAAATATAACTTTTACATGAATCTACATACGTAACGTTATCAATTCCAGTAGGCGTCGTCTACAATACAGTCGTAAGCTGTAGAAATTAACCAATCACAATCGATTATTCTTCCGTGATTTGTCTGTGATTGGTTAATTTCTTACGGCTTGGTATGGTAGACGACGCCGTACACGTGCTGTAGCCGTTTAATTGATTAAATTACGCCAATCAGAAGCGAGAAATCACGTACCGAGTTTTGTCGTGTCATTCAAAAATCATAGCACAAAATCTCTATTAATAATCTGTAAATAAGTAATCGTTCACACAAGTTTCTAGGGAAATTGAGCAATCTATGGAACAACAAGAAAAAAACTTCATCTTATCCTTTTTTTTTTTTTTATCTCATTCTTATCACAAAAATAATCTGTTTTAAATCTGTTTCTCAGGCCTTTCCCAAACGAGCAATTTTGAGCATATCAAGGTTGAGACTGCGGGTGAAAAGAAGAATGTGACTCTTATTACGTTGAACAGACCCAAAGCCCTGAATGCATTATGTGATAAATTAATAGTGGAGGTTCACCACGCCTTGCAACACGCGGAAGCAGATCCATCTATCGGTGCCGTGGTTGTTACCGGAAATGAAAAAGCATTCGCTGCTGGTAAGATTATTATAAACTTTGAATTGTGATGTTTTTCATTTTATCTGATATTTAGATAGCACGTATATATTATCTTTATTATATATTGTGTGTGTGTAACTAGTCTTATATAAATCTGCTTACTCTATAAAGTAATTGTATAGAGATCTGTGTCTTTACAGGCGCCGACATCAAGGAAATGATCGACCACACATTTGGTAGTACAATAAAGAGCAACTTCTTAAGTAAATGGGACTGCATCTCCAAGTGTAAAAAACCAGTCATTGCCGCCGTAAATGGCTATGCTGTGAGTGCAAATCTGACTTGAGAAAAGCAGTCATTTAAAACAAATCAAAGATAACGCGAAAAAGGAATGTTTCTTTGTCGATTACAGCTGGGCGGCGGCAACGAGTTCGTAATGATGTGCGACATCGTTTACGCCGGCGAGAAAGCAAAGTTTAGTCAGCCGGAGATCAACATCGGCACGATCCCCGGGGCAGGTGGCACTCAGAGACTCCCCAGAGTCATTGGCAAGAGTAGGGCCATGGAACTTGTGCTCACCGGCGATATGATGAGCGCGGAAGAAGCAGAGAGAAAAGGTGAGTTTGTACACAGAAATCGGACCATTTGTATCTCAATGAATACATATTTTGTGGACATTTGTTTCGATTTATAAATATTTAAAAAAATTTGTGTTCTATTTAGGTTTGGTCAGTAAGGTTTTCCCACCTGATCAAGTCGTCGGAGAGGCGATAAAGTTGGGCGAGAAAATCGCGTCCTTATCAAAACCAGTTGTCGCGATAGCTAAAGAGTGTGTGAATACCGGTAATTAAATGTTAAAAGAATAATTTAACTCGATATAATCCTAATTTGTGCTTATCTAATTATATTATTAATTTGTAGCTTACGAGATGACGTTACAAGAAGGTCTTCGGTTCGAGAAAAAACTCTTCTACAGCACATTTTCTTTGGTAGGAATCTTTAGAATTCTTTAGATTCTTACAAAATAAGCGGTTATTGACGTAGACAATTTAATACGTTAAAATACTGGGTTTTAGGACGACCGAAAGGAGGGAATGAAGGCTTTCGTAGAGAAACGCGCGCCAAAGTTCACGGATCAATAATCGATTTCAAAGATCACTTACGGAGGAGAGAGATAAAAATGGTATATGTATAATACATATTTCTTATATTTTTATACCGATATTTGTAAAATACATAACACTGATGAAAGCACTGTGCGTTTCGGCCGACACTGTGCCTACCTGTTAGATCTCTTGAATGAGAGTATTATTTGTTATATTTGTTACGAAAAAAATATAAAATATTGGCAAATGTAATGTATTAATCTACCCTTTTTTTCGTAAAACAAATGTAAGATTATTGATACACGAACGGACGTCATGAATAATCTTTTATTCGAGTATATTGCTGCTCTTACACACGAGACATAAATCTCGAATACACGATACACTTAACGTAGTTAATATTCATTAAAAGGAATAATAATTGTTATAATCATAATACAAGGATTAGGTATAAACGTGTAAACTATTATTAAAGTCGTATAGATGACAATTTTCGTTTTTTTTTTTAATACTAACGAGATACAGTACTCTTTTTGTATGACTCTCCTTATTATAAGTCTCGACTTCAAGAGACAATCGCGTGGTTTGGCTCGTCGTTCCGTAATAAAAATGATCGTTTAATGAAAGAAAAATCTTGTCTCGCATCACTGCCGGTTATATATATCTGAGGATTGCACTTGGTTTATATTCTTAAAAGTGTCTTCCACACAGAGAGTACAAGGTAATATTATAAGAGTGAAGTACGACAAGAAGGTCAACATCTAGTGCGTTCAGTTGAAATCAAGCAATTTATTCGCCAGTTTATTACTCTGATATCTCTGCCTTCGTTTTTCTTCTCGTTCCTTTTCTTGAAAATTCTAGAGAGTACTGTATCCCGAAAAAAAAAACAGTATATAGGAACAACAAGATCTCGGTAAACATCGATAACTCGTTCTCTGCGTATGTTTGTGTGTGTGTTTTTTTATCAGATTGATCTTAAGATTACAAAAGTTTTCGAGTGAGTTTAAAAAGTAGATACAAAATATTTCGCTTTTAGATATAAAAGATTTCATGTCAAAATTTTGCGACAAAGAAATCAAATATCAAAATATCAAATCCGATTCAATTACAAGAAAATCGACAGGGTGTACGTTTTAACGTGTTGACTAGCTAATATTAATATCGAATACGCACACACGCGCGTATTGTACACCGATCGGCAATGAATCTGTCGTGCGAGAGAAGAAGAGAGTTTTCCTTTTTGTATGTCGTTTTACACATCATTCGTGAGCGGTCGATCGACAGCGGTTGAAAAAGAAAATGGCGCACAGAAAGAGAAGAACCTTCTCTTCCCCTCTCGCAGAATCGATTCATTTACCGGTCAGTTGTTTCACACTCAGTTCAACTCACCCATAATATATCCTTACATATTAAAAGACATTAAATTACTTACACTTAAGTACTACGCGTGTGTAATTGCCTTCGTTTTCACTCTCGTATTTTCTTCAAGCACGTATTAAGTTGAACGTTTACGTTATTCAGGGACACACAGATCGTTACACGTCGGGACGGAGGATTTCAAGAAGTTCTCTCGATGCCTCGAAGAAGGATATGTACAGGAATGATTTGGGCGATCCCTATAAGTAGATCTAGTCCTATTTCTGAAATTTGTTTGTTTCTTTGTAATTTTTTGGTCCGAAATACGTATGTACACTCTTGCTACACGATTGCGTCATATAAAAGTTTTCGTCAGTTACGCGATTTGTACGTTTGTGATCTCTTTTGGTCCTCGATTTTTTGTTGCGCGATTGAATTTCGAGAACTTCTTGAAATTCGACGAAAAATATTGTTTGGCGAAAGAACGGGAAAAGAGGGAGAAGAAGGAGGGGAAAAAAAGAAGAAAGAAGGAAATGAGGGGTTTTTTTTATGTATATCACAGTTGCAAGCTCTGCTTCGCATTAACTCTAATACGCCGGTAAAAATTATCAAGATGATGAAGAATATAAAGTGTTCGATACCGCGCTGTCTTATTCTCGTCACGCTCCGCGCTTACTCTTCCGTGGATTTACCGCTTGTTGCGATTCTTCATAGTGAAGCGTCTCCAAAAGTTGCCGCTCTTCTTCGTGGGCGTCGCGGTTGGCGCCTCATACGCGTAGCTAGACTCGTCATCCGTGTCCTGGGCGCTGGGCGTTTCTCTGGTCGGTGATCCACCGTGTCCCGAGTCCCTGTCACCGTCCGTGCCGTTCTTCTCCAGCCCTGAAAAATTTGAAATCCCGAATTTTTCAATTAAATATTGCAACACGTTATAACAAAATTTTTATAGAAAAATTACGTAAAACTTTTCTTTATACTTGCATTAGCGGTTTTTGTTTAAAAAATTAAAAACTAGTATATTTCTTACCGCCACGGCGCAACATGTCGAGAAACGTGCTCTCGGCGTTGCCGCGCATACGTCCCTGCTTCTGGGATGGCGTGCCGAAACTCAAGCTCTGGATATTGATCTCGGCTTTAAGCTGCTCCGGCGGTATATCGTCTACCCGAAACTCATTCGGATCCTCAACGAATGCCTGTTGCAGATCGCGCATTATCTTTTTACGTATAGTTTTCTTCATCGACAGGTGTCGTTCCAGATGTTTCACATCGTTCTCGGTCAGCGTTTTGCTGTTGTCGCGGCGGCGCGACTTCTTCTTCTTGCTGTTTTTCGGACTCTCTTCCTCGCCCGACGTGGAGCCCACCGAGACCGCGCTGTCATGGCCCGGAGCTTTTTCCTCGGCCTGACCGCTGCGTGTCTCCCATTTGCTGCCAAATCCAAAGATGTCTCGCAGATGAGGGATGTTTCGGTCTACTGTCTGTTGCCTCGCCATAGCTCGATCTCTCGGACAGACGAGCAGCGTCGTGAAATGATAAAACTCGCTCTTCAAGTTTTTTCTCTGGATTTGAGCTGAAAGTAATCAAAAGAACTTCCTTAAAAAAATTCGTCGGATAACGAGGACTTTTTCAGAGACTAACTACTTTTTTTTTTTTTTTAACGTTGTGCACCTTAATGCATACTTGAAATATAATTTCGCAATACAGCTGCGCATATATAAGAGAAATGGTGATTTATCTTTGATATATAAACTAATCGGTCGGCCGTTCTCCGGTTTTCCCTTGTCGCGCAATTGCAACGACCGTTGGCACGTTGGCGCGTGTGCCTGGTTTTTCATCAGTTCGACGGAGAACTTGTTTATAGAAGGGAAAAATGCCACCGTCCGGATCTACGTATACACTGCGACCGGGACCGTGCATTGTGAATCAGTCATCCGCGACCTGCGACCCGTGGGCCGTAAAGAGGACTCCCTCTCTTCTCACCGTTTGCGAATAATCGACTCTCGAGTCTGCGAGACGCCCGTAATGAAAGTTTTTAAACAAAGAGACAGTGATATTCCATTTTATGCGAATATATACTGTACACGTTTTGAAAATTATTAAAATAGTCCGTCATTTTTTATAAATAATGTACTCTTTTCTGACCCGCTGACCGAACGTTAGCTGTTCATACATATTGGTATAGATAACAGAGAGTCCGACGCGAAGGGAACGTGAAAGGTCTCTGGTTCACGGCGTGGCGACCGGTATCTCGCGCCGTTTCATGGCGGCGAGTCGGTTCTGGTCGCCAAGCAAGCGAGCGGCTGCTACCAAGGTGGAAAAAGAGAGCGTTCCTCGTTTCCTCGTTGCTCAACCACCTCGATTGTAATCGCGCACCGACGATTACAACGGCAAAGAATACGTGTTACGGATTACACGCGCTCGCGACGCCTCTTCTCCCCCCGTGTGACGCACATTCACACTCGCTCGTCTCTTATTTTATTCACGTTCTCCGAAATCGTAGCAGAATTCGAGTTGATTATAACAGAATTTTGTTTTAATCACAAGTTTATATTTCAAAGTCTCTGTTTTCATATCTTAAAAGTGAATTATAAACATGTGAATTATGTTATAATCACATCTTTACGTTTCAATCATCGGATTTCAAGCATCGGAAATAATTGATACGAGTCTCTACAATTTTCTGAATTCAACTCGAGTTGGCATTTTAGCTAAAGCTAAAACTGCGGATCGTCGCTCGAGAAAGAGAATAACTCGGAGATTATTCCGAGGGACGTGCGTGCTCGGAAGAGAGATTTCGGACACAGCTTCTCGAAAGGGGAAAGAGATAGAGAAAGAGAGAGGGGGGGAGAAACAGGGAGAGACGCCCACATAGGCGCTACACGGCTATGATGTACCGTAAACCAAGACTGTCGGACGAGAGAGCACATGGTGGATCGAAGCGAACAGGACGTAGAGGAAACGAAGAAGAAACGTGTGCGCGTGCGTATCGATTCGTGTTTCCGAGCAGATCGAAACGCGACGCGACGCGCCGCGCCGTGTGTGCTGTGCGCCAATATATTTCCCGTTTTGCGCATCCTACGAGCGCCGAGCTGGAAAGAGCGTGGCAGAAACGAGCTGTTTTGCGAAATCAAAGGATCTGGCCTCTACAAGCGGCAATTTGCGGACTAGAGCCAAGCAAAATATATCGCGCATGAGAAAGTTTCTTAGACACCTGTAGATAAGAAAATTTATTTTTAATTTCATTTACGTTTTATATTTTACGTAACGTTTTGGTTTTTACGTAGCTAATTTATTGTATAAACTTTTTGATGAAAAAAAAAGATTTTGAGATATTGTGCAAAGAGAGAGAGAGAGAGAGAGAGAGAGAAAGAGAAATATTTCGAAATTTGTTATGGAAATGCAATCGAACCTCGATAACTCGAATCTCAAGGGAAGAGCTAAAATCTTTGAGTTGTAGAGGTTTCGACTTATCGAAGTGATTTTTTTCCTTTCCGCGGAGCGAAAGAAAATGAAAAAAATTTTTGTCTTATAAAGGTTTCCGAATTATAGAGATTTTACTGTAGTACTTTTCTCTCTTTCTGACGTTCGATTTTTACATTTTTCTAATCTCTTTGAATTAATTATTGTTTTTCGACAAGTTTTTCAATTGATCTCGATTTGTACGCGCGATTAGATACACGCGCGATCACACATATATGCGAGCGAGGCCAGGTAATATTTTCGTTATCGCGCGCACGGAGAGCCCGAGGTTAAGCCTTTCACAAGGGAATAATATCTCCAGAGCAGCTTTTATACAATACAAACACATATACAAGAGCTCGGTCCAGCGCATCAAGTTTCAAGACTCTTGATTTATTTTCACACGGCTGTGTGCGCCGCCGTTTGTCCTGGCGCTTGCCGCGTCACACAATATCAACGCTCATCGAATTTGATACTGACACCAACACACCGAATAATTAGTAAATTAATTTAAATTGCGAAATTCTGAATTTGAAAAATTTTCTATGTTAGTTTCTTGTGTTTTTCGTGAAACTCCGCGAAAACTCATCGAGACTTCGCTTTTTAATTTCTAAAGTGTGCAACATTGTTCGACATATAACGCACACGCGCTCGCGCACAGCCGGTTAATTAAATCGCCCGACGATAATGGAGGATGACTACTCCGTCGACGCGCGCGCGCGCGACCGGTTCTATTAATCGATGGTCATTTTTGTATCCTCGGCCATACTAAAATTCTTCGAACGGCGAAGCACCGTTTCAAATTCGCGATAACGAACGACCGTCCCGCGTGAGAAACTAACAATCGTAATAACTGTTTCTCTCGCCGAGCTTTATACACGCTATGTAACTTGCGTCTATATATAATCGCAAGAGGAAAAGAGATTGAGATTTTCCGCCTCACTTAATTTCGACTGATAGAGAGTGTTTTTTAATATATTGCGTAACTTTCCTGGAACTTGTGACAAAGAAACGAGAGATATTATATCTCTTCGACGACGACGGCGGCGGCGCGTCGTCGTCGTGTTGATCCGTGAACTTTCACTTCGGTAATCGACAGGCTCCTTCCCGGACACAGCTCGTTCGTGGTACACTCGCGCTCTTGGATCGAGAGCCTCGACTCCGAGAGAGAACGAGGTGTGCGCGATGCAATATTATTTGCATGTAAAGTTCGCGAATTTCATCCTCCGGTTAAGACTCTCTGTACATATCTCGGCTACATTTCAATGTTAGAATTCGAATTGTATCTCGAGCTCCGTAGCAGTCTCTCGCTTTCTATTCAAGAGATAAGTAAAACGATCTCACACAATCGAAGATATAGTTAATTAGATAACAATTAATAATTTATAAACTGCAATTATTGTTTGATCGGCCGGCGAGATCGCGCGCGGCGCTAATAACGTCCTTTGTTGCGTTCTTTACTCCGGCGGCGTGCTCATTAGGATTCCCATCGCGTCTGTCTCATTGTGTCGCGATTTCATTCTCACCGCGTGTCGGATGTCTATTTCTTTATTGTTAACAAAATAGAGATTTCTCTCTTTTTCTCTCTCTCTCTCTCTCTCTCTCTCCCTCAATCGCCGTATTAATTACGGCGGTGAAAAGTTATTAATGATATATCAAATGCGCTTTTGAGCAAATAAAAAATGAACAAATAAATGAGAAAACCACGTGTCATTTGAAATAATTAAAAGAAAGTGAGCGAATGTTGCAATATGTTGTCGCGCGAGTTGCAAGATATTTACTCATTCCAACGGTGCGCGCGCGGTTAATCGCACTTTAACGTAGATGATGCGTGCTCATCGCGATGCCGTTATTATAGTGTGTATCGGTTACTCCCGTTGCGCACACACATATCGCCAACACGTGAATCTAACTGTAGCGGCGGCGGTCGTACAACATTATATGCCGATGCTGACACAAGCGAATCCATTCCCCGACTTTCCATGGCTGTACAGTTACTCGGAGGTGAAAGGTGACGGGCCCTTTCCGTCTCTCTTTCTCTCTCTCTCTCTCTCTCTCTCTCTCTCTCTCTCTCTCTCTCTCTCTTTTTCTCTCTCTCTCAAGAAGAGGCAAAGGAAGTGAGGGAGGAGAATATCGGATAATACTTTGATTACGCGTTTGAAATCGTTTTTTTCTCATTGACTAAGCCGATAATGGAATTGTATCCAAAATTTTTCCGAAGTCAAAAAAAACAACAATATCTTCAGCCAAGAAAGTTTCCAAATTTTTTTTCGATTTTACGGAGCGGTTCAAAAGAGTGTAAAATTAATGGAAAGTACCATGTGATAGAAAAAGAAATCTGTAAATTGCTTTCAAATTTCGGCGATCTGGTGAGAAAAGATAACAAGTTCACCAAACACGCGCGTGAGAGACAATGCTTCATCCGCATCCGTCGGGTGTTTGCTCCCCGGAGGTGGTCTGCCGTGTGTGCACGCTAGACCAAGCAGAAACTCCGGCTCTATGTTACATAAGAGAAAAATGCAAACTGCTCCGTCGGGTCTCTTTCTCTTGGCGAATCTGAATCACCGTACACGTCCAGCTAGACGGATTTAATTATAGATATGACTATAGATGTTTTGTTTTTCAATAGAATTTGTTCTCTCAATTTATTATGCGAGTTAAATTTCGAAAATATACGAGAGAAAAAGCAAACACCTAGAAAACAAACATAAACATTGAGAAATATTTTATACAAGAGAAAATTCATGCAGTGAGAAATAAAATTATTTCGAAAATTTTTTTGTACACCAGGCAATTTTTTTATACATTGTTTTGTGTTATTAAAAAACTTATTCTTGTGAGCACCGCAAGATTAGGGTTTAAAATGAATCATATTTTGCGCAGTTTCATCATCCGTCGCTCATTATACTCTCTGTCTGTAAGAAGTTTACGACAATTTCTCGGTAGACCTGATGTCCGCGCGCACAAATTTTGTCCTTTCTAATTGAATAACATGTCGTAAACTTCGTAAGGATACAATTTTCCTCAGGTGGTTTTGTAATCCGGTAATCGTACGTGTCGCGCCAATTATCAGGATTTCGCGGAAACGCAGATCGTTAAATCATCGACTTG